TTTTTTTTTTTTTTTTTTACTTGGTTTGGAGGCCAGAAGGGGCAAGGAAATCTTCGAAAGACATCTCCCGTCGTGCAAGGACTGTAGATTGCAAGCCCACAGCCTGACGGGAGATAGTGTTGGATTCACCGCCTGTCCTAACCTTAGTCAGGAACAGACGGTGCCTACCAACTAAAACCTTTTTTTTTTTTAAGGTCGGGGGAAATCCTTTATGGATACCCACGGGTTTCGGGGGAGAGCCCGTGGGTTATGTGGGAGTCCCCAGGGAAGATGTCCTTGGGTATACCCACTAAAACCCCCGCCGGTGACCTTCCTAGCCATATTGAGGGGGAGGTAGGGTATCACCTGAGGTATTCTTCCTACCCCCCTCTGGCTTGGCCCTTTTATTGGCCTCTTCCCGGAGGGGAGGCAGGTTATGGTCCTGCCCCCCCTCTCCTTTGTGTCAGCTTTTGATTGGGGGAAGATCAGGTCACCTCGATCTTCCCCTTGCCCTCCCGTTGTTTGTCTAGGAGGGTTGGTCGGTCAGAATCCCCCGATTCTGACCAACCCTCCCGCCGGGAGTGGTGGGAATGTATTCCCACCTCCCGGCCTTTCCTTAATAGTTTGAGGAGGGAGGGAAAGGAAAACCAGTTTCCTCTCCTCTCGAGGCCCATCCGGGCCGGATTAACTGTCCGGCGGTGTGGGTCTCACCAGTCGTGTCCTTTGCTAGACATGGCGACGGCGGGGAGGAGGAGCTACTCTCCTTCTCCTCCTCTTAACAGGTTGGGAGTTAGCCCCGTCGCCGCCTCCTCCTTCTGCTGCATAACTTGCGTGCAGAAGGAGAAGACGGCCTGCCATTTTTCTTCTCCCTCTAGCATTGCTCGAAACAGTGCTGTGAGAGAGAGGTCTTTGCCGACCACTGTAGTCAGGGCCCGACGCTCCCTCGCCCACGCCTCGCATTCCGCGAGGGTTTGCTGCGCCGAGTCCCGACTGGCCGCACAGTGGTGGCACTCTGTCGTGTGCTCTTTCCCTATCCTGCAAAGGTGGTCACCGAAGCAACCGTGTCCAGTGAGTACCTGTGTCAGGTGGAACCCAAGTCTTTGTCCTCGCCTGTCTGCCCATTCCGGGAGACAGAGTTGGATGGCGCGGGTGGTCCATCTTTCCGCCACAGAGCCCGCGATGGCAACTTGCCAGTCGAGTATGGCCCCGCGACGGGCTTTCCTCTTGATTTTCTCCACGGCCCCTGGTCTGAGGTGGGCGCTTAGCGCTTAGCTACGAGGGACCCAGAACGGCTCGGTCTGGGTCCCTCGTACGCCGATATACCTCGGCGTACGAGTTCGCCAGGAACTCTACCGGAACGACGCCCGCCATGGCCGTGGTCGCCGCGAACGATGCCGTGCAGTAGGATCGTATGATCCTTCTGGCTAGTCGGCGCTGCTGACGATGGATCATTGCTTTGATCCGCCGACTGGCCGCGACTTTTTTTGCCCATATCGGTGCCCCGTAGAGGGACACCGACTGCACGACATTTGCGTAGAGTCTCCTTATTTTGGAGCTCGGACCACCCACGTTGGGCAGGAGGCGACCTAGGGCTGCTGCCATCCTGTCCGCTCTAGGGATTATGTTGGCAAAATGTTGCTCAAATCTCCAGAGCCCATCCAAGGTGAGGCCCAGATACTTCATCCGGGACCCCACCTGGACTCGGACTTCCCCCACCCACATTTGAGTGGGGGGGAGGCCGCTCTAAGGTCCTGTTATGGAAAAACAGGGCCTCCGTCTTCTGCGGGGCGACCTCTAGTCCCATTGCTCTTATTGAACACACGACTGCTCGAGTCGCCGCGTTTGCGGCGTCTCGAGCTTTCCTCCAACTCTTCCCCCTGGCCACCACCAACGTGTCGTCTGCGTAACACAGCAGACGACAGCCCAGGGGAAGCGCCGTACGGAGCACTCTGTCGTACGCGAGGTTCCACAGGAGGGGTCCTAAGACCGATCCCTGAGGAACCCCGCCAGTGCTGCAAGATCGAGCATCCTGCAACAGAGCAACATGAGGGGAACAGCCCCCACCATGCGGGCACTACACAAGCGAGAACCGCACGTCACGCGTCCGTGTGCGCACGCGTCAGCTTAGCATGCTATTTGTCACTTCCCCAGCCCGTGAAAAATGCTACGTACGAAAAATGCTAAGAAGCCAAGCGTTTTTAATCGAGTAAGGCGAATCGCTTGAATAATAAAGATTCCGTCTTCTAGACCTGTATCTTGCAACTTGTTTTTTTTCTTTTTTCGCATTTCTTTCTAACGCACAATCTAATGCACAATCGAGTAAATAATTAAATAAATTTTTTTTCTAAACAGTATTATTTTATATTTTATTAAAAAATATACGCTATAAGTTAAATTATTAAACTGTTGAAAAAGATATTAATTTGCTATGACTTGTCAATAGAAAAATAAATATAATTTT